CTTCAAACAGCATTCCTTCGTCCTCGATCCAGAACTGGAAGAAAGGATCAAGGAGGAAGGAATGCAACTTATTGATTTGACTCCTGTTGATACAGCTTTAGAAGCTATTGCTCGCCTGCCGCCCGCTGGCGCGCCAATCATTCAGTCTTGATCTGCCGTTGACCCAGCACTCTGCATTTCTACTATCGTAGGATATGTTGTGACTCTGACACTTGCCTTCCTCCTCCACAAGCGAGTGAACGCCGTTCAAGAGTCTTTCAACAAATGCACGTCCGGCGTCCCGCGCATGTTCCGACGTGATAAAACGGACCAAGAACCTGAACCTGAACCTGAGAACTCAACAAACCTGATTGAGATTACACCTATACCGCCTCGTCGAACCTCTGACAATTAGAGCAATCTAAAATGACACAATAATGATACAAGTAATCCTAAATAATGCACCCTTATGTCTTCTCAAGTTTCGAACCTGATCATTCCCAAATTACCCAAGTCCTGCATCAGGATTCAGTCAGTGAGGGAGATGTTGTTTGTGTCTTGTGTGTGTCTGTTCTCTCTATGCCTCTTGTTCCAGTGCCCGCCGATGTTCGCACCGGGAACATCACCGAGCAAAAGGGGATGTGTAGGATCCTGGCCTTCAAGATATTGAAACCCTTGAATCTATAAACAGACACAAACGAACATTGAATCTCTACATTCCACCAGGAAAACTAAAGGTTCTTCTCCCCAGCCATCTGCAGTCATAAAACTACTTACAGGGTCAGCTCAGGGTCTCAGCAGTTCCTGTCTCTCTCTGCTTATCTTTACAAAGAAAACACGGAGCTAATGATTTGCCAGGCCACCTCCATGTCGACACAATACTAAGACAACAAGAACTGACCCCTCCCATCTGGACCTGTTTAAGCTACAGAAGGTCAGTAGGTTTCGTGACTGGTTTCAGCATCAGTAAAACATCTAATGGACCAAAGAACAAAGAACCTGGTATGTAAACAGAGCCCCGCACAGAATCTCTCATGGCCCTCATGACCAGTGGACACATAAATTGCTAAAATTCGATCAACAAAAGAGACAATTTTATAGCTCCCTGTCCAGCCAGAGATTCTCCAGCAGACTCTCAGATCTGACCTGAGAATGACCGCAGGACCCTTCCCTTTTCCCCCTGCATTCCAAAGGAAAGAGACAAGATTTCTTTGACAATCATTGCTAATCATTGAAAGTATGAAAATATCGGAGCATAGAGCATTAGATATATATACTTGATGTGTTCATTTAATCGGTGCAACGTTAAGCAGTGTTTATTACCCCTTTTTAGGAAATCATCAACTTCTCGCTGGCCGAGTAGCTGATAGAGTGTAAACTATCAAATTTAGAATCAATTCGAATCAGGTTGAATTAGGCTCTTCAAATCCGAGTCCTATCAAAACCTGAATCAATAATAATAATTAAATCCCTTACAACTGAATTAAAATTCCTTACAGCACATACATATATTTACATATACATATATTTAGACATGGATTGTACTCACCCACCATGGCTCCCGCGTCGTTGTATGAACACTCATATATATATTTGAATGTCGTGAAAGTTAATTTTTTTGTACCTTATTTCAAAAAGTGAAATTTTCATATAGTCTAGATTCATTAC